GGCTGGCATGAACTCAGCTACGTTAAGCCCTATTGGAAGGGGAACACATTCTACTGAATTAGTTTTTTCATAGTGAAAGGCACCCTAGACAGGGAGTTACATACACAGAAGACTTCATGGAAAACCAAATTGCAGGGCTTTTTATCTGTCAAGATGAAGAATATTGCACCCGGTACGGGAGAGAACAAGTTCTGTGCTGCAGTGCGTAAGTCAAAGCGACATCTTGCTCGGGCTGGTAAAATAGCAGTTAGCGAGCATGGTGCTCACTGTGGCCTGTCCTTGTCTTGCAGAAGCACGGTGGTGGGTGCCTCAGCTCACCTCTGAAAATCCACAGCATGTTGCAAGGTGGTGAATTCTGTTCTCATGGTTTCATAATCAGGGATCGGTCTCAGAGGAGGTTCTGTAATTTATAGCTTTAGGCAGCCTTTTGTACTACATCCTGCTCATTAACCTGGAGGAGGAGTAAAGGCCAAGGGTTTAACTTTATTTGGTGTTCCCTGAGAAACGGGCATAATTAGGCAAATTATTTTGAACAAATACAGGTCATGCTCTTTTCGTCCTTTTTTGCCCTCGAATTATTGGACCTTGGTGTAGCTGGAGCCTGAACAGCAGCCGTTAAATAAATTCCAGGAATGAGCGTGAATGCAGTTGCTGAGCTTATTTCTGTGGCACCTTGAAACAAAAGTTTTCTGGCAGCCTTAACATTTTATGCTTTACCTCTGCCAACATTGTGTAAATTGTATTTTTGTTACAAAGATCTCCAGTTGTAGTCCTTTTCTGCCGTGCTGTGGTTTAGAGGAGCATATTTTCAAGATTCCTATTGAAAGTATGTCACGGATTTAATCTCTTATGAACAGGTGTCTTCTCTCTTATCTTTGCCAAAGTGGCAGGAGAATGCTCGAGAGCCTGTGTGGTTCGTGGCTCACAACATGAAGCAAGATAGCGGTGTCCGCTGTGGGAGTAAAACCTCAGATCTTTATTTAGAGTTTTGAGGTGGACCTCCAGGGTGAACACTGGGGACGGGGAGAGGACCTTAACAGTGTTTGTTCTGTATTTTCTTCGAGGCACTCCCGCTTTCTGTGTGTGGTTTGGTTGTTGGGATTTTTTCCCCTGCTCTTGGGCACTGCTGCTTTTCTGGCTGAACAAACACAGAGCTTGCTGTTCCTGCGTCCTCCCACACAGTATTTGCACAGCGGGGTGGACTTCTGCATCTCCTGTTCCCCGGCCTGTGTCAGCAGGCAAGCGCTGCTCATCGCTAGCAATTCCAGTAAAATGCTGTGGATGTAGCAGAAGAAATGTGAGAAGATGGGCTTAGAAAATGGAGATGAGGTTGTGGGAATGGTGGGGAAAATTAACTCAGAGGGGTAGATATTTGCCAAGTTAGAAAAATGGAGAGCAGAGCCTCAATGAAGTAGGGAAAAGGTGGTCATCAGGGAGGTTTTTGAACGCGAGAAGTCGGTGTGTTTGTGGATCTAGCCTGGAATCAAACCGGTGTGGGAAAATTTCCCTGTGGAAAAGTCCTGGATAAATGCAGTGTTCAAAAGAAGCAGGCAGAACATTTTTATATGCATCATAACATTTTTTTCAGATTGTTAATGAAGTTAGCCATTATTCCTTGACCTCAGCTTTATTTACCAAAAGGCTGTTCTAATTGTTTTTCAATTTGAAAGGAACGTTCTACATGGGATTAAAAGCAAGCAAATAACCCTGCTAAGAAAAACAACGCCGGTCCCATTGCTCCCCACCCTCTATCACAAAAAAAACCCCAGGCCTTTTTGCCCTAAATTTGTACCTAAAAATTCATTGAAAAGGCATCATATAGTTTTTTTGGGGGGAGTGTCCTGTCACTATTGTATTTACAGGTGAAGCTAAAAATAAATAAATTCATACAGATTATGGTTGCACATGAAGGAAAAAAAATTCATGTCAATGCTGTAATAATTTGTGTATCAAAAATGTACACAATAACTAAAAAGTGTTATGCTTGGTAAGAATCTGAGTTGCAGGGTTTTTTGTTTGTTTTTTGAGTAATAATTATTCTTTATTATTTTAGTACCATGGCTACATTTTATTCTGTAAAGCAAATCACTGATGTAGTGAGGCTCTGAAGTGCCAGGCTGCCTTCTCTGGATTTTAAATTGTTTTTTTTTGTTGTTTGTTTGTTTGTTTTTTTGCTGGCCTCTCTCCTCTCCCATGCACCCATACCTGCCTGGAGGCAGCAGTGGCGCGGAGCGGGCAGCTGTGTGGCTCTCCGGCCGCTGCGTACTCCATCCCAACGTGTGGCTGGGGCCTCCCACTCATTGCAGCACCCAAGCATGCCTGTGTGCAGCCTGTTAGGAGCATGGCGAAGCACCCAGAGGGAGGAGGCCACCTGCTCTTTTTCCGGCAGAGGAGGAGAATACATGTTTTGCTTTCAGCTCTAATCAGAAATGTTGAATTTTTGCTTTTTGGCTGCATGAGCTTGGGGTCTTAACAGTGCTTGTGTGGGTAGCAGCAGGCATTGCCTCCAGTGGTTGTGATTCCCTTGGGATCTTGCAAGTGCTCTTTGAATGGGTTTTATCACCTGAATTTGCATCTACTTTTTAATAAAGTGTTTCACTTATGAAGTTCTGTAAAGTTGCAGTGAAGTGTGGGGGCATTTTGAAGATGTTCAGGCTGGAACATTGTCTCTTTAGAGCATTGAAAAAGACCCCACACAGCTGCTGCCATAACTTTTTGCTCTTTATTTAGCACCGTGAATATTCAAAAGCAAAAATCCATTATTTTGCTGAACTGCAGGGATGACCGTGAGACCTTTTCCCAAGATTTAGCTTCTAGCATTAAAAAGGGGTATAGATAGGAACCAAATCTGAATGTAGGATGAGCTTTGGGCACCCCTGGAAAAATGAAATTGATCTCCCTGATGACTGCTCTGTGTGGAGTTTGTGTTGCCTTGTCTATGTTGCACAGTAATTGTATGCCGGAGTTGGTGCTGTAGGTCTTAGGCACTGTATTTGCATATGAAATGAAAAATTACATAGAGCTTAGTCACACAGAGAATTGCTTGTATAATCAAAAGCTTGTTGTATTTTCAGTTGTAGCAGCCTTGATATTTAGGTTATTCCAAAACTCCTAGACAGTGCTGCAGTGAAAGATGACATTGGAAACCAAGGCTGAAGGGAATGCGGGAAAAACATTTACCGTGTTACGGAGAGCATCTTGTAAACGTCTGATATGATGTAAAAATTTCTGTGAGCCTTTGCCCTGCAGATGTAATCTGGTTATAAACAGTGTCACGTTAGCTAATCTATAGTCTGCTCTTACAATGGAGTATGCAGAATTGGGCCATGATGGTTGTGGGTGGCTTTGACTTCCCCAGACCTTTCTTGAGGTTTAAATCTAGCCATTTGTGACTGACAGCTTACTGATGCAAAGTCTTATCCTGTATAATGTCAGCAGGTTTCCCAGCTGTGCATGCTGCTTGGTTTTCTCGTGTGTGGAGCTGGGCAAATCATTAACTCTGTTACACCCCTCGGAAAAGGGGGTAGTGGTGTGGTAAGGGTTGTACCTCTGGCTGGCCCCACCTCGCATGTCTGTTCGTACGGGGGACGGAGAATGAAAAAATGGCACAAAGAGAAGGGCAGTACTTAAATTTGCATGCACAGATTTATTTTTTGTCCAGTTAAGGGCATCCCTTGTAGATTTACTGGTGAACAGGCTTTTTCTAATGCCAAGAAACAGCGCTTGCTTGTTTATTGAATCTGTTAGACACTTTACACACTGGAGTAGAGGTAAGGTAGGGTTACAACTTTTAGTCTGCTCTGTTCATTGTAATTTCTGCTAGTTCATTTCTCTCTACTTAAATTTAAATGAGTATGTGCACCATGAAGTCCAAACAGTTTTTAAATAAATTGAAGATTTCATAATTGTGTTTAAAAAACAAAAAGGCATTTTTCCGTTCCACTATGCAAAAGAGCCATGCAAACCAGAAAGGGAAGTTAACATGATTATGCAAAACATCAACAATTCCACAAAAACAGCACCCCCCAACCCAAACCAAAACCAGAACTCCACAGCTGAAATTCAAAACAGGGCAAAAGAAGCCAGATGAAAAAGGTGGTGCTTGAGGTGACAGAGGGGAAAGAAAGGAAAGGGATACTGTTTGCACAGCAGTTTAAAAATAGATTAGGAATTGTCACTAAAAATAACCTTGAAAAAGTTAAGACTGACTGTGGCTGTTCTATTCATCTGGAACAATGCTCCTGGAGTTACTTCTGTTGTTCTTCCTGATAGCTGTTCTGTTTAAAATAAGGCGTTCTGTGTTCTGGAAAATCATTTTTGTTTGGCCTTTCGTTTAGCTGTCCTTCCTTTTTGACTTCCACTTCTGTTTTGGACAGCTAATGACTTTGTGCGCTTCTGCGTGGACAGAGGCACTGTCAACTTTGAGAGATCCAATTTGTTCTAGCGATCTTATCCTTCCAGTAAAGCCTTCAGATTTTAATGCAACGCTATAAGCGTGAAGTGTATCCCTTCTGCTTCCTATTCTGACCTTGCGCTTTTGCAGACGTTTGCATTTAAATACCTTCTACCACTCCTCATACAATTACTCACTTGACGCAGTGGCTTCTTTGTCAGGTGATTTTCTACTCGTGATTAACAAGACTGTTCTGTATAGGTTGCAAACTTCTGGAGGCTTTAATAGCGCAATAAAGCAAGCCCTTTCAAGTAATACGTCCTTAACAACACAATAGACAAAATGAACAGTAAGTAGTATCTGCACTGAATAAGAAAAATAGTCTGAGGAGTGACTCTACAACTGCTTCAATATCTGAATGTGTTTATTGGTCGAGCAAAAAGAAATGGGAACAGGTTTCCCAGAGAAAAGCCTATGAGACTTGTGCAGTTAATGTCTATGTTTTGGTAACTGGCTACTGCAGACATGTTGCCTGTTAATTTTATGTGGTGTAATTAGTGAAGCATTACAGAAAATAACTGTCACATGTACTTTTCAGGTCTTTGCAATGAGTTACCCTGGCTATCCCCCAGCAGGTGGATATCCACCAGCAGCCCCAGGTAAATTGTTAAGATGAAGTAAACATTAAATGGCAGTGGTGGTCCTATCTGGAGTGGAAAGGTGGCATGGATGAAGAACGAGACTGCAGAGGGTTTTCTTTACTCGCTGAAGCTTTCTGTGCTCTCTTGTTAAGTCCTGTGTTATCTTGGCTGGGGATTCTGATTTATGTAATATGGGTGCTCTGCCATGTGCTCGTATAAGGTCGATTTTCATTCATTTCAAATGAAGCACACAGCACTAGGAGGTGGTCGTAATTTGACCAAAATCAATAACTGTCAAGGAAGAGTGTCCTGTCAGTACTGAGTCTTGAAGACAGCTGGTGAGAAAAACAAATACAGGGAGAAATCAGTCACATGATTTAAAACCATATCCCACAAAAAAATAGGGCTTTAATTATGACATTGTCCCCAAATGCACTATTCTTAGACAGAAGGTTGTTTATGGAAGGGAGAGGACTGTTAAAAAGGATATCAATTATAATAATACAAATTTGGTGAAATATGTAGCTACTGCTTGGTAACAGGGTGAACTTGATAGTTATGGTAGTGAAGTTTACAGTTGTTAGTACTGTTGGTGGAAAGAAAGTCACATGGGTATGGTGAAATGTGGAGTTAGGCAAGCTAGCTTGGGAAGGGGAAGCAGTGTACAGTGAGAAGCCAGACTAGCCTGGGAGGATAAATCCTATTTCTCAGCAGAGTATTCTGGCTTAGACTGCGGTGCAGGCAAGACTGTACTGCTGTGTGCAGCCAAGTGTTGTGACCTGGGTAGCTGCAAATGTACTGTGTCATGCTCTGCAGATATCTCTCAAATTAGCAGCCCCAAAGGATTTAATTATATTTTCCTACTGGAATACTCAGATAACTTTGTAGTTTAAAAGAAACTACTCTCTAGTCAAAATATGGTGTTTACAGTGTTAACTCTGAAATGTTAACCTTCAGATGTGTTTATAGTTGTTTTAAATGAGAACTTACAGATTCAACAATAACATGATTGGAAATATCCAGTGAGGCTTCTCTTTATATCATAATTGCACTGCTACCCTGCACCTCTTCAGTTGATTATCCTTCTCCCAAACTGCTTGTGTTGAACAGACATTCCATTAGAAATGTAAGTAGTAAGGAAGAAGTTCATAAAGGTGTCATTTCTTGTTTCAGCACAACTGTGTTTGATTTCAGGTAGCAGTCCTTGGGGTGGTGCTGCCTATCCACCTTCAAATCCACCTCCAATTGGGCTAGACAACGTGGCTGCCTATGCCAGTCAGTTCAACCCTGGCTACATGGCTGGAATGGTGAGTTTCTTTTCATTTAATGTGTTTTACTGTCACTTCCTTAGGTGCAAAGATGTGTTTCTGGCATTGCCACTGAGAAGTTTATCACTCGAGTTTTGTGCCTTCATATATAGTCTGTTTAGGTGTTGATATCGTCTGTTGAACAAAGCAGTTACTGCAAGCTACTCCTTACTTTAGGAAAGCGGACCACTATTTAAGTCTTGATTTAAGAGCCTATCTTCAAAAGTCATGGATGTAGAAGTAATGTAACTTGGCTTTTGCTGTGCAGAGGGGTAGAGGAACAGACTATGAATACTGAGTATCCACTGCTAATATATTCACTTTGGCAAACACAGTCCACATTGTGCCTATTACCTGTATTTTGGCCAGGCTGCATAGGAACAAGGCTGTGTAATTTGAGGTGTCAATGACTCATCCCTGAAAAGAATATGGGATAAGCTGTCTCTTATAAGCACAGATGTTTAACAGATGGCAGTAAAAACGTTTTACATTGATTGAAGAAAATGGAGACGTTTCCAATACAACTTTTTTTTGCATAGGATAGAAGTGAGTAATGCTTCTGACAACCTAGTCTTCAGAAATCTGTTATGCTGTGTAACGAATGCACAGTTTGGAGGAGGACATTTGCATTATAGATGCCTTTCTGAGGCAATGATTAAACAAAGTGAGATGGCACCCAGCAGTCAAAATGAGCAACAAACTATCTAGGGTGCACTTAGCAATATCCACAGCACTAGCTTCTGAGAACACTGCAATCATCAAATGTCAGTTCTTCTGGTTCCTCTGTAGAAGGGGGCCTGAGCGCGTCATATGGGAAGATGATATTGCATGTGAAGTGGAATATCTTTGTGGCAGTTTCTACAGACATCTTTCCAAATGTAGTCCAGGAACTCTTGCTAATTGTAAACTACTAATGCACCTAGTGCATCATAAAACAGCCAGAGGGTGCTCTGCACTCAGGTGAAGCTGTGGTCATGTAAGGCAGCCATGCACAGAGAAGGGTTAAGCATAGTTTTGTGTTGCTGGGATTAATTGGTGAAAGTTTTCAGAATAAGAGGTGTGTAGCTGTTGGTGCTTTTCTGTGACAGTGATGTGTAATGCTGGATGCAGTGGCAGGTGTGTGTCTGTTGGTTCTGCTTCTTGATGTATGGCAGCTGGTGATTACAGTAAAGCAAGAGTCAACTGAATAGAGGATTTTTCCATCTTGCTTGCTGGTAAGACATGATTACTGCAAGGTTCTTCTACGGATGCTGAACTACCTGTCCGTGTTGGTGGGGAGGGACGCTGTATTGTAGTAAGTGAATTACTGAAACTCAACCGTTTGTACACCTTCCTGTCTCTTGCTTTATTTGCTGTCATTGCAGGCATCCAACCTGGCAGAGACCTTTGGAGGGACAAACGTACCGCAAGGCATATATCCTTCAGCACCTGGGGGTTATCCTCCAGTCCCTCCAGGTGGCTTTGGGCAACCTCCATCAGGACCACAGCCCTCTTACGGAGGGTATCCTCCACCTGGAAGCCCACAGCACAGCCTGGTCAGCAGCCTATGACCTATCCAGGACAAGCACCAGCAACTTACCCAGGGCAGCAGCCCATGCCAAATTATCCATCAATGCCCTCTTACCCAGGAACGACAGGGCCTACGGTCTCTTCCGTAACAGTAAGAGTATTCAGTGTGTTTGTTTTGAGGTGTGACCGTGTATGTGTTTCTTTACATTTTCTTTGTGTATACAGGTGTAAACCAAGCCAAAATGGAAAGGGAAGTCATGAAAAGAAGTTTGACTAAGGAGAGATGGATTCTTTCCAAATGCAAGCACTATAGACTCATGTGACTTAAAACAAATACTGTTTTACCACATTGTGGTTTAACCTGGCAGTCGGCAACTAAGCACCAGCTTGCTTATCCCTCCCCATCCTCCCCCAGTGGGATGGGGAGGAGAAGTGGATAAAAGGAGAAACTCATGGGTTGGCATAAAAACACTTTAGTAAAACAACAAAGGACATACTAATGATAACAGTGAATATGCAAAACAAACTATATACAGTTTTCTCACCACTCAATGACTGATTCGCGATCAGACCCTGAGCAGTGATCACTGAACCTGGGAATCACGGATTTGCGGATTTCACAAAACTCCTGAAAAAGACCAAACTCCTGGGAAAATTCAGACTCCCAGACAAGAGAGGATTCGAACTCATGGAAAAGAGAAGAGCAGAAAACCTGTTGTCCCGCAGCCAGCCCCCATTCATAGGCTGAGCCTGTGGTATGCAGATGACACCTATGGTATGCAGAATTTCCACTGGCCAGCTTGGCTATCTGTCTGGCTGTGCTCCCTCCCAGTTCCTGCACACCTCCTCATCAGCTGAATATGAGAAACTGGAAATTTCAGGTCCTTGATTTCTTAGCAACAAGTGAAAACATCAGTGTTATCAACATTGTTCTCATACTAAATCCAAACCACAGCAGCTACTGGAAGGAAAATTAACTCTTATCCCAGCCAGAACCAGGACACCAGCTTATCCAAGAAGAAAGATTTGACGTGAATTCAAATTTAATGAAATTTGGCTTTCCTAACTTAACAAAGTATTGCCAGTTATCTATAAAGTTTAATCAAACCTTAATTAATTGGACAGCAGATTTAATATCAGTGAACCTTCTTGACCTTGCATTTTCTCGTAATTTGGGTATAGAAATGAATAAGTTGTTTAAGGTGGGGGCTTTTTGAGTTCTCTCTGTTACTTTTCTAACAAAAAGAAAAAATGGTAATAGTGGTCATCTTTCCTAAGTAGTAAAACACAGTCTTTCACTGATGAGCACTAATATGCAACTCAACTTGGTCTGATTTTAGCATGGAAACCGTGGCACCATTACCGATGCACCAGGATTTGACCCTCTGAAGGATGCAGAAGTCTTAAGGAAGGCCATGAAGGGATTCGGTGAGCAGTCTGTAGATTTACGTTTCAGTTAAAAGCAGAATTGCAGCTTTGATTCAGCAATGGCTTTCTCCATTGTTACATGTGTGCTGAGTGGCCTAGTTGACGCATGGTTGTCCGTGATTGTCAGAAGAATTATTGGAAGTGCATGTAGGCGTAAACAACGTTAAGAGTTTGGTATTTGGTTGTGCAGTGTTTTTTTTTTTGTATTCTTACTGTGTTTGTGATTGGGAGTAGAGCTTGAAGTTCTGTGGTTGTACACAAGAGGAGATACTGTAGATGGATTAAAGGGATACATGCCCTTTGATTGGGTTTACGAGAGATAGGGTCAAATTGAAACAGAAGGCTGAGTCCTCACATGATGTGCGTGCTCATTCTGTGGTGTCTGTGTACATGAACAGGAACTGATGAGCAGGCGATTATTGATTGTCTTGGAAGTCGTTCGAACAAGCAACGGCAGAAGATCATCCTGTCCTTCAAAACAGCGTATGGAAAGGTAAATACATCACATCACAAGAACAGAGGGAAGAAGAAGTAAGAGCCTGCATTCCTTCACTGAAAGTCAGAAGACTTAGTGTTTGGGAAAAAAGATTGGAAGATGCTTAAGGAGAAGATGGTTCACAAGTCATAGCCTATTTAGGGTTCTGCTTTTACCCACTCTTGACTTTTATCCATACTGTTTCAGATGAAACATTCAAAGCAGTTTCTTGGCTAAATGGTTAATTTGACTTTGGTCTGTGTAGTCTATTTAGTTGAACCTTAATTACCTAGACGTACATGTTATGTTACGCTGGTTTTAGTGTTGTTAGGTGGAACAGCTTTACTTTGAAGATATATTATTGATGCTTATGCATAAAGAATTCTGATTAGACTCCACAATTTGCGTACTTAAGTTTGTCAATTTTGATCTTTATGCTTTTTTCCCTTGGTTTTTACTTCTCATTAGGATTTGATCAAGGATCTCAAGTCTGAGCTATCAGGTAACTTTGAGAGGACAATCTTAGCAATGATGAAGACACCTGTCATGTTTGATGCTTATGAAATCAAGGAAGCTATAAAGGTTTGTGTAGGAGATACACACTTATAAGATAAGAGGAAATATTTGAGCTGATAGAATTTTTGGTAGTCATTTAAAAGCTTGAACATGCATTCCATCCTCTCCGTCCAGATATTCAAGCCACTGTTTGATCTGTACCCTGTTTCTTGGAGGTATATGATAGTAAAATTGAGAAATGTCATTCTCATAGGTTAAAGGTGAAGACTATTTAATAGCTTTGTGTTGTAACAACAATATATTAGTGAATACATACACAAAAAAAGACAGAAACTGAGTGCTAACAGGCTCTGTGCTGAATTTATTACATACTCTTGAGTAAGCTGCTGAGGCGGCTTTCTTCTAAGCCAGCTACTGCATGGGGCACCTTCATTTCTGGGTTTTTGCTTTGAACTGTAATGGAAGTGATGAAAAAATAACTCAGCCTAGAGTTTCCAGTGACTTTACACTCAGTGCTCCAGAATAGTTCAGCAAACCAGGTTCATAAAGATTTTGGGCAGGGTGTGCCGCCTTCTTATCTTTTCCTCCACCTCAAAATTGTATTTTCCTAGCCCATACTGAACCTTCTCTAGAATATTAAAGAAGTATTGTGTGCTTTCTCTTTAAAGCAATCAGACTATTTTATAAGCATTTAGGTTTTTAAAATAAAAACAGGTCAAACATTTGTATTTCAAGACAGTGTTTAAATGAAGGTGAAATAAATATTTCCATTACTGAGTCAGTACATATGTTTGTGTTCTTTGGCCACAATTTTGAAGTAGCTAGGAGGATGAAATAGTATTAGCTGTATTGTAATTGCAACTGCTATCTATTAGTTAGTGAAAGTTACCTATTAGAATTAACAAATTCATCTTCAGTGGTAGAAAAAATTGATTCTTAAATGCCTAAAATCTGTTGCAAAGGATGACAATTTAAAATAAAATTTTGTTTTCATAATTTCAATTTGTATCTTTAATACGTATCTGTGTCTTGGAAACATTAAGTAGCATTTAAACTACTTGCTTTGACTTCTCCTGTGACCAGATTATATCCTGAATTTTATTTGATTGTATAATTTTATTGCATTTCTTTTGTACTAGGTTGCAGAAGTGAGATGAGACTCTGAAGAGTGTGTTTTCTTGTTATGCTTTGTTTTAGGGCGTTGGCACAGACGAAAATTGTCTCATTGAAATCTTAGCTTCTCGCAGTAATGAGCACATTCAGGAACTCAGCAGGGTCTATAAAGCAGGTTAGATTTGTTACAGTTCCATCAAAATTTTCTTCCTTTTCTTCCTTAATCAGTGACTGACAATATGAATCTGGGAAGTGAGCAGGGGTGTATGATTATTCATGACTGTGTCTCCCTTCCAGAATTTAAGAAAACTCTGGAGGAAGCAATAAAAAGTGACACATCTGGACACTTTCAGAGGCTTTTAATTTCACTTTCTCAGGTACTTGCATGCCAGGATTTTGGAGTTTGGGGTTTGTGTGTGTGTGTTTGTAGAGTGGGGGTTTTTTGTTGTTTGGTTTTTTTTTAATAAGCCCACCAGTAAAACTTTTGTATCTTCACATTCTTTCAGGGAAACAGAGATGAAAGTACAACTGTTGACATGTCTCTTGTCCAAAAAGATGTGCAGGTCAGTAGAAATCCTTCATCGTTTTGAAGTACAGTCAGCTCAATACACTGAAATTTGACTGTGTGGTTTCTGCCTACTCTTAGTTTTGAACACCTTTTGGCTTCTCCTGATGTAGTGCTTATGTTTTGGTGGACGGAGGTGATGTGAAAAGCCCTGACAGAGCATTAGAGCTGTGTTGCTCTGTTACAGAGACAAAGCTCTTGGGAACAGAGTCCGTAGGGGTTTTTTATCTCTCATTCTGTCAGTTCTCTGGCTCTTCTAGGTGTTGGGTGACTCCATCGTGCTGCTTATTAAGGGAATGGTCCAAAGAGATTTGAAGTGATATGTGTGTGGGTTAAATTTTAATCTGTTCAACACGTGCATCAGCCTTTGCCTGTTATTTAAGGAATTCTGGATTGTTTCATCAAATAAGGCCCTCTTGCCCTGTTACGTTTTTAGTGTGTTCCATTTCACCACTCAGCACAGAGAAAACCTTGGATCATTTCAGCACACTACTGTCATATAAACAGTAGTGTAATTAGCTTTCTACATAGCGTGCCTTAGCCACAAGACAGGAATGTCCCAGAACATATCTAAAGGTGTAGAAAAAAAGCTAGATGAAAGCCCTGTTTGGAAGAACAGTTTTCAGGTACTTTTTAAACAATTTCCCTCCTTTAGTAATCTGGAGCTCTTGTGTTTGGGCGCTTACACATCAGTAAGCTAGCAAGACTGCAAGCATAGCGTATTGTAGGAGGGCTGGGACTAGTTGCTATTTATTGCTTGCTCCAGTTTTCCGGCAGTACATAGACTAAGAAATAAATGTAAAAGGAGGAGAGGCTGTAAGGAAGCAGATCTGTAACTCAGCTTTTCAGCCTTACTGCTTTTCTGAGTAATGAAGTGTGAATTCCCTTCTGTGTTTAGGAGCTATATGCAGCTGGAGAGAACCGCCTAGGAACTGATGAATCCAAATTCAATGCCATTCTGTGCGCAAGAAGCAGGGCCCACCTCAGAGCAGGTAATGGTGTCCTCTACATAAACAGTAACTTCATTCTGTCGTGTGTGATGATAGAAATGTACAACATTGCTCTGTTCCTGAATTTCCCCCATTGGTAAAATGAGCGTAATGATACCTCAGTGAAAAGCAGGGGGAATTCTGCTGAGGGAAAGGGTACACAAGAGCTGCACATTATGATCATCTTAAATATCAGAGCAGGTAGAGGTCATACTAGTCAAATGTTTCTCTGATAAAAGAATTGAAAAACTAGAGTTGTTTCAATTTTGCATGCTTGTGTGTGCAGAAAACACTTGCAGTCCTGCCCTTGCCATTTTACTGACTAGTGATTAGGTGTTACATCGGTCTATAGTGGTGGAAGTGTTCTGGTAACTACACAGAACTACCGAAGTGTGCTACATATTGAGGAATTTATATGGAGAGGAACAAGGTATGGATGTGTGTGAGAGCCTGAATGTTTTCTGCTTAATTTTATTGACACCAAAATCTTTCCAAGAATAATTTTCACTGTTTCCCTGGCAGGGATTTCTTGGTCTAGCCCTTTAAAAATAACAGCAGAACTAGGCAAGCTAGAAGGATCATGATGACATGTAAATGGAACAATATGGTTGATAACATCTCAAAGACTAACACTGTGTTAAAATTTGTGCGAGCATACCGTAGTATCAAGTTGAGACTGCAATCAAAATGAAGCCGTCCACATGCACCAGTGCCACCTTTTTTTGTGAGGCTGACTCCTGAAATTTTACTCTTCTGTTAACAGTCTTCAGCGAGTACCAGCGGATGTGTAACCGGGACATTGAAAACAGCATATGTCGTGAAATGTCTGGAGACCTGGAAAAGGGCATGCTGGCAGTAGGTATGTGTCGTCTTAGAAAGTTCATTCCTGGTATTCCACCACAGCTGCCTGGGATTGTGGCATCTGTGACGCCAGCTAAGGATGTTCTTCTTAGTAATAATTCCACTTTTCTGTTTTTTATGTTGAGCTTGCTGTGAGGTCGCTTGTGGTTAGTAAAGCAGGGCACTTCATTCATTTCAGAATGACAGATGCAGCTTTTGCTTCAGGCAGCTGCAGAAGTTAAATTTCACATGTTAAAATGGGAACAGAATTATTAACTGTCTTTGGCATTGTTTTAAGAAGTGATGAGAACTTGTACCAATCGCTGAGTCAGTGAGAATGGAATATTTGGGACAGCTTTGGAAATCAAGCAAAATATAGGCGTTAACCCTCTAATTAGTTACCTCTACCCTTTTCAGTAGAAAGAAAACTTAAATGTGATTGCAAAGGGGTTATTTTTCCCCACACTTCCTGTGGTTATAGCTTTTGTTAAATCTTACTTTTTCAGTGCCTCCAGTACTTTTGAAGAGTAAAGACTCTTTCCTCAAGTCTACTGTTACCCCTTGGGAGATAGTAATTAGTTTCCATGAGGTTGGGACATGGCCTCAAGTTGTTGTGCAGTAGTTTATTTGCAATGTTTTATTCTAGATAGCATTGTAGACCTCTTCCTTGTCTTTTGTCTCTCGTCTCTTAGACAAGACTGTTGCTTTACATCTCCATTTCTTTTTCTGTTTATTACTGTGAATTTACTGTGGTATCTAGAGCTGCTGCTTTAAAAGTGGTGTTCTGTGGTTTTGAATATAGTAGTGACTAGAAAAGTGGTGTAACAAAAAAAGCCCCCAAATTAAAAAAAACCACAAAACCTCCTCCTGAAATAAATAGGAAAAATGTACTTTGCACCACTTGGAAGCAAGCTGACAGCAAACATGTGGCTCACCTGCGACAGATTTTTTTCTTTTGTAGAAGTTTCTAACAAAATCTTGCAAAATAGGAATCAATTTTAAAAAGCCCTGTTTTTTTCACTCCTGTCCTGTGCATCTGTGAACTACGTAGCTATTGTTCTTACTCTTCTTGGCCAAGCTGTTGCTATGGTGGCTTTTAATGACCCAAACTGGGTCCAGCTCTGTTGGTGTGATACATTTGCAGACCTTTTCCAGGATTCAGAATTTCTCACCTCAAAAAGTATTGTTAGAAAACCAGACTTAGGGAAAAGAAGTATTTCCTGGTGTTGGTAGAAAAAGATTGCCCTGGTAAAGAAACTGTACTGTCAGAGTTTGGAAGTCCTTTGACTTCATGGAGCTTTGAAGTCACTTCACAGGTCTCCATGTAGATACAGATTCAGAATTTGGACTGTAGCTTGTGAACAAGTCAATAGCCTTTTGAGCAAGTATTATCATTAATATTTACTGAATAACTCCTTTATTGCACAGATTTTATTTTGGGTTTTTTGTTTATATGTGTATATGTGTATATACACACATATATATTGGAATCACTCACTGACGTTAGCATCATTTATTCTGTTAACCTTATTCTCAGAAAAAAAGGGTTTCTAATTGAAAATATTTAATTTTGCTTTCTTTAAAGCTTTCTGGATTGTACAACTGGTAACTTACTATAACATCTTCAAACATCTTAAAGTGCAAGTGTGTTGTTTTAGCTAAATACAGTGATAAACACGCATTTCATTTGTCATTCGTTTTTTAATTGTATTATACGTATCATTGACAACTGTGCGTGGTGAACTGCTATCTCTCATCTACATTTTCCTATTCAGAAAAGTACTTTTTCCTATATAGAATGTGTGTTGCTGTTACCCCTTTCATTCTGTGTTGATTTTACGTGATTGTTTTTGATACCTTTAGGAGCTATAAAATAGAAGTGAGGCGTGGTTTGTTTTCTGTGTAGTTTGCCACAGATTGCATGATTGTTTACGTAACCAACATAGGATCAATATATAGATTTTAATTCTAGTGTGCGATGGAGGATTCTTTCATTATCCTGATTAACATGACAGTAATTTGATTTAGATATTACTCTTTCAGATTTCTAGTGAACTGTGCTAATTAAATATAAAGTTCAGTCATTACTAAACAATCATGTTAAGAATTTTCCAGGAGTCCTGGTGAACTTTGTGGCTTAAAAAAAAAATGTAACTAAGTTTAAAATGAGGATAAGGTTTCTGTCATAGCTGGCTTGCCAACTTGTAATAGGGTAGGACTTGTTTGTCATTCCGTGCAGATGCATGGCCTAAAAATTCGCAAATTAGGAAAAAGGCAGGAGCACCACTAACTATGTGCTCCTTCAAGCCTTCTGCCACCTCCCCAGCCCTTCTTTTCTCTTCATATGTAAGAATCTGGTCATTAGACCTTAAAGATTCGTTATGGCTGCTTCACACAGGTTTGTAGTGATGGAAAAGTTTGCTTTGAGCCATGAAGCATAGTAGGTTCTTCAACTTTATTGTGGCTACTATTTTGTTTAAAAATCATTTCAGTGACTAACTGAAGGAGTGGAAGCTGCATTGTATCCAATGTATGTTTATGTAAAATTAAAGCATGTGACTATCTAGGGTAAGCTCAAAAAATGACTCTCAGTTCTGATTGAGGAGGAATACCTGATTTTTGTAATGTTTCTTTTTGCAGTGAAGTGTCTCAAGAACACACCTGCTTTTTTTGCAGAGAGATTGCACAAAGCTATGAAGGTAGGTGCCTGTGACAAGATGCATATAATTCTAGTATGCTTTTTTTAAAAATGCTTGTACAGCTCATTGGAATGAATTGTTCAGCTGAAGGTATTACATTTCTCAGTGGGCAGATGACTAACAAGATGCAGTCATTGTTATGAAAGGCTGGAAAAATCTAGCTAATTTTATCCGCTTAACAAAGAGATGCATACAACCATACCAAAGTCTTCATTTGGTAAAACACAAATCTGCCTAAGACTCATGGCAATTGGTATCTTTAAAGTAGAGAAGTCTAGCTGAAATAAATAAATAGGCCATTAAACTCATCAAACTTTCCTAACCCCCTGTCCCTCTGACAATCTTCCCTCCTTTTTTTTCTTTTTCTAACTGTTCTTGTTCAGAGAAATGACTCTTAGTGTCCTACCAGTAAATTTAATTTATTAAAGCATGACAGGCCAAATTCTGTTCAAGCTTATTGAAGTCAATGAGGATATGCTGGTAAACAGTTGGCCATTTGTGGGGTGATGATTTATTTGATGTTTTTAGTGGTGCTGTATCATCCCGCATTTCCGCACATTACTAATATATTATATTGTTTTGTTTGTTTCAGGGAGCGGGAACAAAAGACAGAACTCTGATTCGAATCATGGTATCACGCAGTGAGGTTGACCTGCTGGACATACGTGCAGAATACAAGCGGATGTATGGTAGATCTCTCTACACAGATATCACTGTAAGCCATGGAAATTTTATCTTAGAATCACAGAATGCTTTGAGTTGGAAGGGACCTTTAAAGGCCATCTAGTCCAACCCCCCTGCAATGAGCAGGGACATCTTCAACTAGATCAGGTTTCTCAGAGCCCCCTCCAACCTGGCCTTGAATGTTTCCTGGAAGGGGGCATCTACCACCTGGCAACCTGTGCCAGTGTTTCACCACCCTGATTGTACAAAATTTCTTCATTATATCCAGTCTAGATCTACACTCTTGTAGTTTAAAACCACTACTCCTTGTCCTATTGCAACAGGCCCTGCTAAGAAGTTTGTCCCCATCTTTCTCATAAGCCCTTTAAGTACTGAAAGGCCACAATAGGTTCTCCCTGGAGCCTTCTCTTCTCCAGGCTGAACAGCCCCAGCTCTCCCAGCCTTTCCTCCCAGCAGAGGGGTTCCAGCCCTCTTATCATTTTTGTGGCCTCCTCTGGACCTGCTCCAACAGGTCCATGTCTTTCCAGTGCTGAGGGCTTCAGAGCTGGATGCAGGACTCCCGGGAGGGTCTCACCTGAGCGGAGCAGAGGGGCAGAATCCTCTCCCTCACCCTGCTGCCCACACTGCTGGGCATGCAGCCCAGGGGAAGGTTGGCCTTCTGGGCTGTGAGCACACATTGTCGGCTCATGTCCTACTTTTCATCCACCAGTACCCCCCAAGTCCTTCTTGGCAGGGCTGCTCTCCATCCCTTCATCCCTCAGTCTGTATTGATACTGGGGGTTGGAGATACTAAACAGCATCGGTCCCAGTATGGACCCCTGAGGGACACCACTTGTCACCATTCTCAATCTGGACATTGAGCCATTGACCACTCCCCTGTGGATGCAACCATCCAGCCAATTCCTTATCCACTGAATGGTCCATCGGTCAGATCAGTGTCTGTCTGATTTAGAGAGAAGGATGTTGTGGGGGACCATGTCAAAGGCCTTACGGAAGTCCAGCTAGACAACATCCCTTTTGATAGATTGTTTTTCCCTTGTACACTGGTGTAGTCACTCTATAATAGAAGGCCACTAAGTTGGGCAGGCAGGACTTACCCTTGGTGGCTGTCTCGAATCACCTCCCTGTCCTTTGCCTTAGCAGAGCTTCTAGGAGGATCTGTTCCATGATCTTCCCAGGCACAGAGGTAAGACTGACAGGTCGGTAGTTCCCAGGGTCTTCCTTTCTACCCGTTTTGAAAAGGGGCACAACGTTTCCCTTTTTCCAGTCACCGGGGACTTCCCCTGACTGCCGTGACTTTTCAAATATCATGGAGAGTGGCTTGGCAACTCCATCAGCCAATTCCTTTAGGACGTATCTTTTAATATCAGGGCATTGTTTTTAATGTTTTAACATAATAAAGAGTAAACTTTCACTCTCCATCCCTGGAAAAATATCCACATTGACTGCAAGGAAAAGGAATTCTGTGTTAATTTTTTCATTATTTCATAGCTTTTGCTGGAAGGCAGTTTTTCAGTGAGATTTTTTTGTTGAACCACTCCCAGGTAAGTAATTGAGCCTGTATACCAAATTCATTTTGCTAAAGAAGCATATTCACTGTGGACACTTTGAGTTTCAGTTATGGAAGAGATAGATTTGACTGTGTACTTGTATTAGAGTGGTTTCTAATTAGCAGGCTTTTTAATTTTTTCTCCCCTTCCCCCTTCTGTGAAGAGGTTAGCACCTGCTTTCTTTCAGCCCTGGCTTCGTCTCTTTTGGTCATTAGTGTCATTTTCAGGATGCTTACAGTTCTTTTTCCTCTATTTCAATGCACAAGTCTTCAACTTTTCTTTTTCTGGGCTTCTTTCCAGGGTGATACTTCAGGAGACTACAGGAAAATCCTACTCAAGTTGTGTGGTGGAAATGACTAAGTGGAGCATTGAGCTTTTCTTTAAAAACCTGCTATTTTTGCTTTTAAAGCATCTTTTTTTTCCTCCAGAATTAAATATGTAATGACCTGTTTCTTCTAAAGCAATTACATTTTAAAAGGTGATTGCATATATTTTCTCTTCAGTTTGAAAATAATAGGTAATAAATGCCAAAAAAATATAAATATCAAGCTTATGTGCCATCTGCTCAGGATTCTGTGTAGTACACTCAGCCATCCATGAATGACAGGTCATTATTTCTTTTCTGCTTATATTATGCTGAAATAATATGTTTGTTTTATGGAACAAAAATCACAGTTGCATGATTTAAGGTTTTAATTTGTATAAACATTACATGCTATTTTAATGGAAGTTTTATGTATATTGTATGCAGAGTTGGTTTCATGCTGGCCTACTCCCTGATGTGTGGAGAGAACAGCCGTGAGTTTTTGTGTCTAGTTAAGATTGTTTTAAAGAAGTTTTGTCAAGTTGCGTTTACTTTCCGTGATTGTTTTGAAGGAAGAGGTGTTCCACATTTCATTCTCGCTAGGGCAGCTGTCACAAGGCAGTAGTAACGATTCTATGGTTAATGTTTTAAGGTTTTGGATTGTGCCTTAATATATGTATGTAAGAAGAGATTACGAAATTAAAGCTGTCTATCTTCTAACTCTTTGCAGACTGTGCTTTTTGGTGTTCATGTTGATTTACATGTGAGTGATGATTCAGTTTATTTAACTTAGTTTTTCCATAGATGTTCTCTGCTGGAGTCCGCAGAATTACTCAGAAATTGTTGTGTTGACAAGAGTTTGGGACTTGTGTGCTGTTGAGCAATTGTCTGTATGTGATACGTGTAATCTGTAGCTATTGCTGAGGATTTTCATTGTGCATGTTGTAATTTCTCTAACTCTTGGAACTCTGAATTTTTATTCTCTGCTAGCATGGATGACATCTCTTCAGCTTTTCACTCTCAAAGTAGAAACATGTAGATTAGAAAAAAGGTACAAGAGGAGGAAGAGGTTTGGAGCTAGGTCAGTGAAAAGAGAGTGCTTGTTAATCAAGAATGTGCAAATTCCTCCTCTTATTTCACATACATACGCGCGCTCTCTCTCCATTCGGTGAAAGTCGGGCAGGTCTTTTTTCCTGGAAGAAGTTGTGTTGCTGTTTCTTGTGGAAGGAAATGGGGGTGTCATGGGGGTGAATGTTGGAATTAATTCTGGTTTGCATTGTCGCTACAGCAAGGGAGAAGAGTGTGAAGATTACAGAATAAGGTGGCTGTGCGTCCCAGTGACAAATACTGACTAGTCCCAGTTCTGACTAGGACGAGCTGGTAAGACTCCTGTGTCAGTCAGTGGCAGCAATGGGACTATGTCCAACGCCAGACCACTCTATACACTCATTTTTGTCAGACAATCTAAGCGTATCTTGGGAGGAAATTGCAGCTGAAAGTGTATCTTCGTTGATCTACACTGAGAGCAAGGGTCCAGTTCTTTGACCGGGAAGGAGTAAGCTTTTGAATTAAGGGAAGTTTCTTAGATGTGCTTTAGTCCCAGATGCCACCTGATCTTGTTTTCTCACTGACAATGCTGTATTTGAAATGCAGCTTTGATAAAGTAGGGGTGCTGAAAGATTTAGAATATAAAACTTTGAAATAATGTGTAGAAGCAAATACCTGTTTATTATAAAGCACAGGAACACAGGTGGCGAACTAAAGCTGAGGATTGTTCATCCCTGCTCAAATTCTGGAAACGCAAGCTTATTAGATGAACAAAAGTGCAACTGTTTATGACAATGGTACTGTTACGTTCAGCTGTCTTCTGTCTTCACAGTGCTCAGCTGGTATCTGCATAGAGAAGAGCTGATGTAATTATTTTTTGTTATAACATCAGGATCAATCTTTGTGGATAAACATCATTTAAAACATGAATCCTGCTACTTTAAAGTGGGGAATTGTCGCTCTGATTCACCAGATCACAGAAGGAAGGTCCTATCTGCAATTCTTGAGCCATTTGGCAGTTGTTGCAAGCTCCATCTGAGCAGTAATTACTATAGATGTGCTGCAAATATACCGAGGTTGATGTAGGATTTCCATTTGAAGTTCATTGTAACGCTTTGCTGGAATACTTTTCTTATTGTTGCAAGGGAAGAGCTTAATTGTTAGCTGTTAACTGCCCCTCAGAGAAAACTGGAAATTTTAGTGAATAACAAAGTTGGTGAGGACATGTCAGTCATGGTAACCGGATCCATACAGCCAACTGCAGGAACTAAAACCCAACATAAACTCTACTGCGGTCTACTTGGAGCCCGTCCTCTATCACTGAAGTGCGCTATAGTATGCATGTGTGTATGTACCCACATATAGCTATCTTAAATGAACAAATGCAAAAACCAACACTGTCAAAACTGACTTCATAAACATGTGGATGCTCATACCATTCCATAGGAAGTTTGGTTTCCACCAGGAGTGTCTCTTACCTTGTCAAATGCACTATTGATATTAGGACAGAGCATTATAAGAAGCTGTGTAGGATAGGTGGTCTCATCCAAATAATTCCTGTTGTGGTTTAATTTATTCCAAAATCGTTTAACCCGGAGCTTGTTTTATGTGAGTGGCTTGCATGTCAAAATTGGATTTAAGATACCAAAATGGTGATGCTTCCAATAACTTTTTTTGTAATTTGTTGCCTTGCTTTGTCACACATGAAACTAAAGAATCACAGTATCTTAAAACTGAAAGAGACCTGGAGATTGCTTAGTCCATCCTGCTGTTCTAAGGTGTGATGCTTGTGTAACATTTCCAGTGCGGGGGAAACTACAGCCGTATCATTTCAGTGGGTCACTGTCCTTGCAAGAAACCTTTGCATTGTGTTTTGCTGGAGTCTTTCTTGCTGCATTATTTCGTGTTTTACTCACTTTTGTGATGGGAAAGAAAACGCAGCTTTCATCTTTGTGGCAGCCTTATTCATTCTGGTGGGCAACTTCGATATTATGTAGACTAAACACCCCAAATTTAACAACCTTTCTGTGTAGCTCACGTATCTACCTCCTTGGCTGGGTTTTTGTTTGTGGGATTTTCTTCCTTTTTCACTCCCTCCCCCCCTTTAGTGGTTGTTGAAACCTAGTGTTCAAAACTGGAGCCAGTATTTCAACTGAGGCCTTAGCTGCACTGAATTGAGTGAAGGAATTCCTTCACATCTTGCGGGGGAAAATGATGACATATTTGATAATAACATATACAACAGTACTTTCAACTTGGGTTGCATGCCACTAGGTACTTACCATCAAAAATGTCTATAAGTGGGGTTCCTGGAGTGATGGGGCTATTTGATGTTGTCTCACTGATGATGTTGAGAAGTGATTTGACTTCTGATTCTAGATGCTCCACTGTTTTTATTACCTTCTAATGAAAACAAGGGAGACAAATGGAGAAAAGGGGTAGTCAAAGGATCAAGTTGAGGCAATTGCACCAGATGTGTCAGCAGAAGTGCAAATCTAATGTGCCATGATGTTAACAGCTAATTAAATTTATGTTGCGCAGTGCAGATTCAAATATTTCTTGGGTCATGCTGACCTCTAGTGGCACGAAGTATTAAATGAGAGTTAAATTATCACACCTCTGTATAAAGAATCATCTGTAATTTGATTTCTTGGAGGGAGCTTTGCATTAATTTGCTTTTAATTCTCTCTTTTATGAGCCACCATCATATCCAAGAAAAGAATCTGCACAGAAGGCAAGAGGAGCTGATGGGGTGGAAGGAAGAGGGCTGGAACTAGAGTGGGAGAGAGGTATTGATGCCATTTGAGAACCACCAGGATCCAGTTTGGCAGCTACCCAGCTGGGAACAGTTGACACTAGACATGTATCTTGTGAGTACTTAAGACACCACAGAAAAAAATGAAAACTTTGGAGCTTTCCTAGAATCCCAGTCACAGAGTTCATTTGGCTCTTGAGCGTCTGCAGGAGCAAGCAGGAACTCCTCCGTCGGTCTCAGAGTCACCTGCAGAATTCACATCTAGCCATGAGCAGATGTGAAACTTGACAAGCATGGGTTCTGAGATTGTTACATTAAAGGCACAGTTATAAACAGTTTAGAAAAGGCTGATATGTAGTAGTCAGTGATTGGTTAATCAGTTGTTTGGAATTCATCAAGATTATTTGTTTCTCATAATAGTGGCTTTATGGATAGTTACGACCGTGACTTCTGAAAAAAATAGTCACACCTCGAATAGAATAAAATCAAGAAGGGGCAGTGTCTAGAAACATCATTCTTCTTTTCTTTGGTCAGAAGGATGGAGCAGAGGTTCGGTGAGGTCCAGGAGCCAGCGCAATAGCTCTTACCTCTTCAATAATATCTAAGCGTTCGTGGATCTTGTCATGTTCGTCACACCAGCTTGCTCTTCCCAGACTTCCAGGTAACACGCTGGCAGGGTCTGCAGCAGCTGGAAAAACAGCCACAGTTAATTAGCAGGAGCTTTTTAATAGCAGTCATTACCTTTCTGACTTCTGAGGTGGTATTTTGCATGCTAAACAGCATTGTTTACGAAACCAAATGTTGGGAGTCTGGGGTAGAAATTGCACCTTTCTCCTAATAACTACAGCTATACCCCAGTGCTGTGGGTGTCTCCTTGCATGTACACATTCACGGTTGGTTGGAACAAGGTGGTTTTTTCTTGCCAGCGGTATTTTTCTGTTTTGTTGGGGGGTGTGTGTGCTTGTTTTACACAGTCTGTTCTTTCCTGCCTGTGTAGGGTGACTTTCTTCAGAAGCAGCTGGTACGGTAAAGCTTTGAGGAGTACCAAACTTTGTCCACTTATGCTCTGAATGGATACAAGCTGGTGATTCCAGTGTGCCAGAAACTTGTCCATAACAGTCTGATTTTGCAATGGGAAGGGAAACAATAAAAGTGTGCACAGCTGATGTCATTTGCTGACCGAGTCACCGTATATGGTGCTATATACAGTCACTTATCTCTGTCAGTTATCTGTATTTACCCCTCAGTACTCATGAGCTTTTGCTCTTTGAACCTTCC